CTTGGTATGAGTGAGGAACTGAAGGAAATTGTTGCGCTTTTGGGTGCTATGCGAAGGAAGAAGGGTGGTAAAGTGAGTGAAGTATTATCATTATTACCATTCTCATGACTCGTCAATAAAGAAGGCCTTGTATCTTTATTATTGTTGTTATTATTATTATTATTATTATTATTATTATTATTATTGTAATTGCTATTGCTGCTGTGATGAATACGCAATCGAACGAACAAACGAACACAGGTGACGTGGAACGATGTGCGTGAATTTTTGGATAATGAGTTACGCGATCGACCGTTTGAACCGCACGAATTGCTGATGAAGCTGCGATTCATCGATGAGACGTCATCGGGCATGTCCACCATACGGCATAACTCATTCCAGTCGGATTTCTTCCGTGACTCGGAGTATCTGCGACGCATCACGGCGTTACGGCCTGAGCAACCCGCCTATCTCTAGCAGCCTCCACCTAGCGGATGCATGGCTGCACCTTAAACATTACTTACTATTATCATTATTGTTACTATTAGTATCATTATTATATTATTATTGTTATTATTATTAATGTTATTATTATGATTATCACCATTATGATGGTTCTCAGCAATTCAATGGTAGCTAACTCTGAATGATCTTGTATCTTTATTGTTGTTAACATGACTATTATTTATATCATGTTTATTATTATTATTGTTATTATTATTATTACCGTTATCAGCATTATTTATACAGTTGTGGTTATGATTGGTGATGAAGCAATGNATTATGATTATCACCATTATGATGGTTCTCAGCAATTCAATGGTAGCTAACTCTGAATGATCTTGTATCTTTATTGTTGTTAACATAACTATTATTTATGTCATGTTTATTATTATTGTTATTATTATTATTATTATTATTACCGTTATCAGCATTATTTATACAGTTGTGGTTATGATTGGTGATGAAGCAATGTCATGTTACCTACTGCATATTCAGTGATATCTTAGTGTATGTGTATTTGTGAGTGCGTATTGGACACATACCATAATGTCTGGCTGAACTTATTATTATTATTATTATATTATTAGTGTTAGTATTATTGTTGGTGTTATTATTATTATTGTTATAGTATTTTTATTATTATTATTATTATTGTTATGTTGAATACTGTGTCGTTATGATGGTGATATACTCAGAATGTTGTTTTCAGTTAAATCAGTTTCAGATCTCACGAATTACTTCTAATCTAATCGTCATAAGTTTTGTCTTGCCATACAGTCGGTCATCTCATCTCATGTGCAGATCATTCTAATGTTTATTCATCTGATCATTATACCATTGTTTTTATATTCACTGATTTCACCTTACAGTAATAATCAATCATTTTAGAGTTATTTAATAACTTAATTTTGTTATGATCATTATTATTATTGTTTTTATCATTATTGTTGCGATTACTATTCTAACTGTTATTCTTATTATTAATGTAAGTGTTATAATTGAAATAATGCGTTTCCATAGAATAATAATGGTCGAAAGTATTAGGGACAGCTGACAAGATAATCTCATCTAATTGATAATATAATATATATGTATATGATGTATATGGATAAAAGTTTTTTGCTGATAATGACAATGATAATGATAATAATAATGAATAAAATGAGAGAGTTATCGATCGATGAGATATAATCGGTTTTATGATGTGAAATGATTTGATAGCTCGATCAAAGCCCGTAGTAATCGCTGGATGATTCAATGACGACACAAAGAGTAATCGACAGTCGATTCAAAGTGAATGAATGCACAAATGTAATATACGGCAAAAACAAACGCGTAAAACATTTAATCACCTGAACGAAGGTTAATTACAATAAGTTTTTTAATTTGTTATGTTATGATAACTGTAAACAACACTAGTTCTTCAGTTTTTGCTGCATTGATTTAGTCTCTTGAAATATACAAGTCAACGAAGGTGTTCGTCCTATTGATCTAAATCTATAAACTTATTTGAATGTTTGTCACCCGTATAGCAGATGCTCGTAGGTTAAGAACTAGTGAGTATCTGATTGATAATAATTAATTAATTGGTAGTGTGCTGCTGGTAAAGGTTTATTAGAGAGGTGATCAAATGACAACAATGCATTGACGAGGTGGTTATGATAGTGGTATAAGTATGTTGGAATGATCTCTGAATACGAATCGAATCACTTCCGATTGCTGCTTCTTGAAAGGGGCAAAACACAAAATGGGTTAAGCTTCGACGTTGACCGATAGGTGTTTATCGAGAAAGGTGGTTGGTGCTCTCATTGAAGAGATTCGACTGATGGTGTGATGAGCACGATGAAATACTGGGGAAATTAAGGTTTATTTACGGCTGGTAATGATTTAGATATATCATTTACTGTGAATAACACTTAAAACGCTCATTAATTAGGGGTATAATTAATGGTATTAGTAAATGGAAGCAATTTTGGCTTAGACTTGAAAGGCAGGCAGCGCAAGTAGTGTGACGAGCTGCCCCGCCCACACGCACGCTGCGATTAATTGTCCCGCCCACACTACACAGTATGCCTGATGATCGCTATAAGCAG